GCACGTCTCTCTGTAGAGCGTGCACAGTCGATGCTGAACTGCCTGGGGTCCTTCCAGTGCAAGACGGCGGTTCCACTGAAACAATTTCAGAGGCTCCTGGGGCATATGGCATCTGCAGCCGCTGTCACGCCGCTCGGGTTGCTTCATATGAGACCGCTTCAGCGTTGGCTTCACGACCGGGTCCCGAGATGGGCATGGCGACATGGCAGACCTTCAGCCCGTGGGCAGATCTTGCCTTTCTTTGGACAGGGGTGTCCCTTGGTTAAGTATCCAGGCATGTTGTTGTGTCAACAGATGCCTCTGCCAGGGGCTGGGGGGCCTGGGCAAATGGGAATGCAGCTGCGGGGCTCTGGTCGGGGCCCCGACTGCAGTGGCATATCAACTGCCTCGAGTTGCAAGCAGTATGGCTAGCTCTGCGCCGCTTCAAATCGCTGCTACACGACAAGCACGTACTGGTCCGTACGGACAACACTGCGACCGTTGCGTACATCAACCACCAGGGCGGTCTATGCTCCCGTCACGTCGCAACTCGCCCGCCATCTCCTGGCAGAAGCATCTGAGGTCGCTTCGCGCTATTCACATCCCAGGCCTCACATCAGCCCGCCCTTCCGGGAGAATGCCGACTCCACCCCGAGACAGTCCAGCTGATTTGGAGACGCTTTGGGGACGGCTGTCTCCCTACACCCTTAAAGTGTATGTTGCCGCCATTGCCACGCATCACGAGGCAGTAGACGGTAAGTCTTTGGGGAAGCACGGCTTGGTCATCAGGTTTCTCAGAGGGGCAAGGAGGTTAAAGCCTCCACGCCCTCACCTGTTACCCTCTTGGGATCTCCCCTCGGTCCTGGTGGCCTTGAAGGGGGAGCCCTTTGAGCCTCTGCAGTCAGTAGAGCTTAAGTTTCTGTCGTTGAAGACAGTGCTCTTCACCGCATTGGCCTCGGTCAAGAGGTTGGGGACCTGCAGGCATTTTCGGTCGACGATTCGTGCCTGGAATTCGGGAGGGGGTCAGCAATAGTGGCGTTTTCCATACGGATCCCAATTCTTCAGTCACGACTGACGTAACGTAGAACGTGACTGACTGAAAGGGAACGTTACGTCCCGTCGCCACAGTTGCTGTACCACCGCTATATGGCCGGGGCACGTAGTCTCGGATCCTCAGCGAAAAACTGATGTGCGTTTTTATAACCGTGCTGCGGGGCGGGGTGCACGTCGTGAAACACGCACGCCAACTGTCATTGGCTTGTTTAGTTTACACTCGAAGGTGATTGGGCTCTCGGGCGAGATCCCAATTCGTCAGTCACGACTGACGTAACGTCTCCGTTCCCTCCTTCAGGGAACGAGGGTTACACAAGTAACCAAGACGTTTTGTATCTTTGTAATACACTGATAACCACCAAAAGCAGGCGGTGATTAGAAAGTCACATGATGAACCAAAGCCTATCACAAGCAGCTTTTAATACTAACATACATAGAAGGTGCACAGTGTCATTCACACAAACACTAAACATCATCATGGTAACACACATGAAACTGAAATAATGCAATAAACATTAATTTAACAACATCAGATGTAACATACAACCCTAATGTACAAAACTGTTAAGAAAAAACTAAGAAACATAGTTATTTAAAAAGCAAAAACAAAACATCAAATTTGAAATGTAACGCATGGAATTCTGGGAATGTCAGTTTACGGTTACACGACTGACGTAACGTCTCCGTTCCCTCCTTCAGGGAACGAGGGTTACACAAGTAACCAAGACGTTTTGTATCTTTGTAATACACTGATAACCACCAAAAGCAGGCGGTGATTAGAAAGTCACATGATGAACCAAAGCCTATCACAAGCAGCTTTTAATACTAACATACATAGAAGGTGCACAGTGTCATTCACACAAACACTAAACATCATCATGGTAACACACATGAAACTGAAATAATGCAATAAACATTAATTTAACAACATCAGATGTAACATACAACCCTAATGTACAAAACTGTTAAGAAAAAACTAAGAAATATAGTTATTTAAAAAGCAAAAACAAAACATCAAATTTTAAATGTAACGCATGGAATTCTGGGAATGTCAGTTTACGGTTATTCACTGTAAATTATACGTTCTTTTTCACTTCCAAAAACGGTATGCTACTGTAAAATTACATGCAATGTCCAAAACAGTTTTTCACCGTATATAGTAGGGGAACTTACCTTTAACCATTCAACAGGTTTTTACTGTAGCATTTTTACAGTCTTTTACCATTAAATTCACAGTCATTTTTTTACAGTGTCTTAAAAAAAGTAGACCTACTAACCCCAAACTTTTGATCAGTAGTGTACATATAAATCGCCTCACATTATGTTATCCCTCCTCTTGTTTTCTCTCTGTCTCACTCATCCTGCATTCTGTTCTCTCTCTCTCTTTCTTTCTCTCTCTCTCAGAGAGGGAGGTCAGAATGATTTAGTGCTCATTCCTGCTTAAGAGTCAGACTAGAGGAGTGCAGCTGTGGATATGAAAACATTCTTGAGTTAACAGGCTGTTTTTCGAGCTAGAGAGCTCTTTTTTTTCTTTTGCATTAATCTATTTATTTATGTTTGTCCTATGGCAGTTTTCTCTAAATTTTGCAAGAAGGGTCTCTTTATCTTTCATATGCTATATTTGGGTAACTGTTATTTTCCATGCATGGTCCCTTCACATTATATATGATGCACTAAAATGTATTTCAATTTGAAAGTAGCGGCTTTCATTTACATCTCCCTAATGATGTGAGTGTCAGCCGTGCAGAAGAGCTGATGCTGTGTTTTTATTTGTTTGTGTAGTGAGGAGGTGAGCAGACATGGCTTCACGGTCATCGTGGATATGCGAGGATCCAAATGGGACTCTATCAAACCTCTGCTGAAGATCCTACAGGAATCGTTTCCTTCCTGCATCCACGTCGCTCTCATCATCAAGCCTGACAACTTCTGGCAGAAACAGAGGACGAATTTTGGCAGTTCCAAGTTTGAATTTGAGGTAAGGGCTTTGTGCATTGTGAATTTACATTTAATAAAGTGACAGTGAAATTATTTTTTTGGTAGATACAATTGGATCTTGCTTTGAATTTTCTTCTAAAATCTGTTGTCTGAGATTACAGATTCTTTCAGGGAAATAAATTAAAGAGAGAACACAGTCTATATATGTTTTACTAGAACATTCCATATTGGTGGTGCGAAAGTAGAGCTGTCAAAATTACTTCTGACCTATTTCATTAGAGCTGAAAGGAAGACACATGCAGTAGTTTTATATTTAATCTGAAGGCTTAATTTCCCAAAGGAGGTTTCTTAAATTAACACATTTAGTGTGGCACAACATTCAGAAGTATTATTACATTCTAATATATGTGTAATTGATTTATACTAAGTGATTATAACTGCATCACAAATATTATTTGAAGTTGTTTACACCTAAACACTGGAAAATCCTTTTAATTGCACTGATGTAATGCAGACCAGGCTGTCTTGAAGTTCTGGACTCTGTCCACCACCAAGTCTCAAGTGTCCACTGTCCCCTCATCTGTCTGCTGTTGTTCTAATAACATGACCTGAGCTGCAATCTTTTGAATGTTTTTTTCTGGCTCCTCTAAGTAAAGTGTTCAATGTAACTGATCCAATAGGCTTTGTATTCATCATCCAATCAGTGTTTAATTGCATTGTTGTTTGAAATAACAACTTCAGCTTCTTGGAAACCTCCCACGGAGTCACAGACAAAACCATTCCATTCAGAACCCAGAACTGCCAAAATATTGTCATACTTTGCAGTAATCTGTTTTGGTTGTTGTAAAGATGTCACAAAGATGCCTCACCCACATATAAAACATTACATTTTAAAACAGCAATTTGTTGTTATTGTCAAATTTCAAGTCAAATTAGATTTATATAGTGTTTTTCATTGTTTCAAAGCAGCTTTACAAATATCATGATGTTAATATTTATGATATCTTAATATTTTCATTCATTATAGTCACATTTAACAGATTAGAGCCATGCAGTGATATAGTTAAAATTTTACATCAATACAAGCAGTCGAGCCTTTGAGATTTTATATATATATATATATATATATTTCTAAACTAAAATTAAACTAAAATGCTAATTCAAAGTATTAGTAAATATTAGGGTGTAACGGTTCACAAACAGGATGGTTTGGTACGTACCTCGGTTTCCTTATGCAAACGTGAATTGCACATAATGCAGTTTTTAAATTACCTTCTAAATTATAAAATTTCTATGTTGTTGTTGTTGAAATATATTCATTTACACAGTGGCTGTCATAACTTGATTCATAGCAGATTTATTTAAACATACATTAAATAATTAAGACATTACTAACAGGTAAAGTAAAATTGAATGTGTATATAGTGTAATATTTCGCAAAATGCTCTTCTCTAGACTTAATTTCTCTAACGAACTAACAAGCTGAACACTGATGACTTGCCTGAGGTAAATGAAATGCTACGTGACATTTTGTTTACAAGCTGTTTTGTTGACGTCTTTCCACGGTTGAAACACTGATTGAGTGATTACGTGAGGTATGATCATTCATGTTTATTTCATGTTAAAACTAGTAGTAAAGAGGAAGGGATGATCACGCTGTCTGACACTGCGCGCTGCGATTTGAACATTTGAACTAAGGTGTTTATACAGTGATCTGTCTCGCCACATCAAAGAGTGCCAGAATGGCATTTATTGTTTTAATTTCCTGGAAAAAATGGGCATAATTTGTAAGATGATACTTTGTTTCTTATCAAAAGTATAAAACTGTAAGTTTCCAAGTTTTACTCATGCAGTGGTTAAAACAATACTGTGTTTGTTCGCTACACATGCGTACCGAACCAAAAGACCCGTTACACCCCTAGTAATTATAATTAAAATAATTTAATCAGGGCATTATAGAGACACTCCAGACATAAAGACTCAAAATCTCAAAACAAATATATAAATGAAAAATCAATTGCTAGTTAAAGGATTAGTTCACTTTCAAATTAAAATTTCCCGATAATTTACTCACCCCCATGTCATCCAAGATGTTTACGTCTTTCTTTCTTCAGTCGAAAAGAAATTAAGGTTTTTGATGAAAACATTCCACGATTATTCTCCTTATAGTGGACTTCAATGGCTACCAAACGGTTGAAGGTCAACATTACAGCTTCAATGCAGCTTCAAAGGGCTCTACACCATACCAGACGAGGAATAAGGGTCGGAATAAGAGAATAAGGGTTTCTAGTGAAACGGTCTGTCATTTTCTAAAAAAAAAAAAAAATATATATATATATATATATGCTTTATAAACAAAAATGCGCGCCTTGCACTGCCCTGAGATGCGCATCCATGACTTCACGTAATACGTAATTACGTTGAAAAGGTCACGCTTGACGTAGGCGGAAGTACCGACTCAGTCAGTGTTTACAAATTTGGAGGAGGACCGTTCAAAAGTTGTTGTATGTTCAATGACACATATTCAAATGTCTTTGTGTCAGTTTATTGTTTAAAATGGCCACTTCGTGTGCGTATCCTGGATGTTTAAAACTTTTGGAACCTAACTTCCGTCCTACGTCAAGTGTGACCTTTTCAGCATAATTACATATTACGTGCAGTGCAAGGCGTGCATTTTTGTTTATAAAGTATATACTTTTTTTTTTTTTTTTTAGAAAATGACCAATCGTTTCGCTAGACAAGACCCTTATTCCTTGTCTGGTAGAGCCCTTTGAAGCTGCACTGAAACTGTAATTTTGACCTTCAACCATTTGGTAGCCATGGAAGTCCACTATAAGGAGAATAATCCTGGAATGTTTTCATCAAAAACCTTAATTTCTTATCAACTGAAGAAAGAAAGATGTAAGCATCTTGGATGACATGGGGGTGAGTAAATGATCAGGAAATTTTTATTTGAAAGTGAGTTAATCCTTTAAGTCTTTTAATGTGGAGTCCTAGTTCTGTTACATACAGAGTTAATGCATGTGTAGATATATAGAGTGTTCCATGGGGTTCCATTTCAGTTAGGATGCAGTTAAACTAAATGAAAATGGGAAATGTTCAATAGATGAGATCTAAAATCCTGCTACATTCAGAAAATGAACCGAAGTGTCCTACTTTCATCCTTTCAGACCATCATGGTGTCCCTCGAGGGTTTGACCAAAGTGGTTGATCCTTCCCAGCTGACTCCAGACTTCGAGGGCAGTCTGGATTATGACCATGAGGAGTGGATCGAAGTTCGAGTGGCCTTTGAAGACTTCACGAGCAATGCAGCTCGTATCCTTTCCCGTTTGGAAGAACTCCAGGACTTGGTGTCCCAGCGGGAGCTGCCGTCAGACCTGGACGGGTCTCGGCGTGCTATGGAGGAGCACGCCTCCCTGAAGAAAAAGGTTGCTAAAGCTCCTGTGGAGGATTTAGATACTGAGGGTCAACACCTGCTTCAGCGAATCCAGTGTGGGGAAAAAGGCAGAGGAGATATCCAGGGATTAGCTCCAAAAGTCCAGGCGCTTTTGGATAAACTCCACGCCACACGCCAACATCTGCACCAATCCTGGCACATGCGCAAAGTTAAACTGGATCAGTGCTTCCAGCTGAGACTCTTTCAGCAGGATGCAGAGAAGGTGTGAACATTAATTATATGTAAAGTTTAATAAGGAGAAAACTGGATAGTTTTACATATAACATAGGGTTGGGACCATAACATAATAGATAACACTTTATTATAGGGACCAATTCTCACTATTAACTAGTTGCTTATTAGCATGCCTAATATTAACATATTGACTGTTTATCAGAAAATCCATGTCTCCTCTCAACAGATGTTCGATTGGATCGTCCATAATAAAGGCCTGTTCCTGACAACCTACACAGAGATAGGAGCCAACCATCAGCATGTGCTTGAGCTGCAGACCCAGCACAACCACTTTGCAATGAACTGCATGGTAAGGCTCTGTCCAGTGGTCCAGCAGTAATATGTGTTACCACCTGAGGCGTTATAACAGTGTAGCTTGATGTGTGTTACATCATTTAAATGATGTGCCTTTGTACACGTGCCCTGGCTCACTTAGTCATGCAAGAATGAATTTTCTGTTGTCATATAATAGTCATCTCAATATATGCTTGAAGGGTACGTAATGCCACAGGAGAACAGTCACACGCAGATACATCATCCCTGTGTGTGTGTGACCCTGTCAGACATGTTAATCACCCCCAGTAGGTTTCAAAGGCAGAGTTTCACAAGAAAATGGCATGGCATCAATCACTGATTTTCCATCTCTATGGTCTCTTCTGCCATCTGCCCATCCATATCTAAATGTAACTGCTGTTCAGCCAATAGGTCATTTTCTAAAAAAAAAAAAAAATATATATATATATATATATGCTTTATAAACAAAAATGCGCGCCTTGCACTGCCCTGAGATGCGCATCCATGACTTCACGTAATACGTAATTACGTTGAAAAGGTCACGCTTGACGTAGGCGGAAGTACCGACTCAGTCAGTGTTTACAAATTTGGAGGAGGACCGTTCAAAAGTTGTTGTATGTTCAATGACACATATTCAAATGTCTTTGTGTCAGTTTATTGTTTAAAATGGCCACTTCGTGTGCGTATCCTGGATGTTTAAAACTTTTGGAACCTAACTTCCGTCCTACGTCAAGTGTGACCTTTTCAGCATAATTACGTATTACGTGCAGTGCAAGGCGTGCATTTTTGTTTATAAAGTATATACTTTTTTTTTTTTTTTTTAGAAAATGACCAATCGTTTCGCTAGACAAGACCCTTATTCCTTGTCTGGTAGAGCCCTTTGAAGCTGCACTGAAACTGTAATTTTGACCTTCAACCATTTGGTAGCCATGGAAGTCCACTATAAGGAGAATAATCCTGGAATGTTTTCATCAAAAACCTTAATTTCTTATCAACTGAAGAAAGAAAGATGTAAGCATCTTGGATGACGTGGGGGTGAGTAAATTATCAGGAAATTTTTATTTGAAAGTGAGTTAATCCTTTAAGTCTTTTAATGTGGAGTCCTAGTTCTGTTACATACAGAGTTAATGCATGTGTAGATATATAGAGTGTTCCATGGGGTTCCATTTCAGTTAGGATGCAGTTAAACTAAATGAAAATGGGAAATGTTCAATAGATGAGATCTAAAATCCTGCTACATTCAGAAAATGAACCTATTCAGTGTAAGAAAAGTAGGATAAAAATTGTAATGTAAATCAACAAGATCTTTATAACAGTGTAGCAGGCTGCTTACATAAAATTCACAGAAACACTAGATCACTAATATTATAATAATGTCATTTCAGTAATAATATTATTTCAGTAATAATGATCATTCTCAGTAAGATGATATTTAAATACTTAGTTAAATGGCCAAAATTGTTGTTTTTATTGTGGGAGGGCAAAACATTCAGTATAATGCAATGCAGTGCCGTTTGGGAAATGCACAAATAAAAAAATATCATATTTCATACTTTAACATGATTTTTCAAAAAAAAAAAAAAAAAAAAGTCGAAAGAATATGGATAATGTAAACCTAAGATGCGTCAGTCCAGTAAGTGTTCATCTTGACATTGCTAATAATATAAAAGTTATTTTATATTACCTACTAAAAGTCAGTAAAGATTTCACAGAACCACAACTAAAAAGACCTTAAAAAAAAAAAGCAGAAGGCGTGTTTTGATCGTGTTGATAATTAGCAGTATTTAGAGAATTTTGCATATAAAATATGATACAGTAGGCTTGGGGTTAATAGCCTGCAGGTTCTCTGGCATTTGCCGTATGTATTGACAGTAATTCAATAGGTGACTTATGGAGACGTCAATGTTCATCACATGGCACACTGGGGGCCTGGTTGTAACCTTTCGTAATAGACATGCTTAAGCAGCTATATCATTGAGTTCCAGGGGTAATGTCACCTGAGCGGAACGTTACGCTTGTCAAGTTGTAAATGAACTCGGCTCCCACTCTTTTATGAAGGACAGTCTGGAGGACAACATGTAGAAAACACTCCTCTGGCTAAAGGCATTTTATACATGGCTGGGTAATAATCTCCCATCATGCTGGTGTATTGATTAGACCCAAAGATATCCAGAGGGAGATATAATGTTCCAGGCACTCCTTTTCTAATCATCCTGTATTTGTAAGAGAAAAGAGGTTTACTGTAATAATATGAAACCGTGAGAGTGAAGGGTAAACTCTCTCTGTTGAAGTAGACTGCAGGGTCCAGTACTGTCATGAAGTGTGAGGAAGGCTTTTGTTCTGCGGTATGCGTGTCTTGGCAGTGTTCAGGTTCTGTAACATGATCTGTGTAAATGTAGGTACTGTAAAGCACTTGCTTCGTCTGTACTCTCCTTTTTAAGCTCAAGTGTCTTTTTCATGATGTTTTCTGTTTTGGGATGAGATGATGGCTTATGGTTTTGCAAAAGTGTTTTCTGTCCAAAATATAATTATTACAGGTACTTGACCAGAATACTAATAGGGGGGGAAAAACTGTAAAAAAAAAAAAAAAAGTTTCTCCTCATTGGAGCAGTGTACATGTGTTTGTAACAGAAAAAGAAAATTGAAAATGAACTGTAAATATAAAAGTGTAACGTATAAAATTAAATAAACAGAAACATAGGTATTTAAAATATATATACACTACTGTTCACACGTTTGGGGACAGTATGATTTTTGTCTTTGAAAGAAATGCATACTTTTATTAAGGAAGGATGCATTAAATTAAATAAAAAATAGTTGCAGGTACCAATATATGTATATAAAATATATATACAACTGTTCATTGTTAGTCCATGTTAGCTCAGGTCAATTAAATAAAATTAATATACAACCTTTGATATTAATACTAAGATTAATAAATGTTATTTTTTTCACTGTTTAGGTTAACTAATGTAGTTAACTAATGTTAACAAATTGACATTATTGTACAAACCTTATTGTAAAGTGTTACCATGATTTCTTATATAAGAATGAAAAAAAGTACTATTTTACTGTAATTTTGATAATAAATGCAGCCTTGGTGAGCATATAAGACATCTTTCAAAAACGTAACATATATATGTATATATACTTAGAAATGTACACTTTGTCCAGTCTCATTTCTGCAACAAACATGATTCTTGAGTTGTGTACATTTATGTAAATCATACAAACTGATTTCTTTGATGTGCCCTCCATGTGAAAGTCAGTTTTGCTAATGAACCACATGCTGGCCATTGACATGAAAATAGCACCTATTATGTTTAGCATATGTTTAGCCAGAGGTTTCTTTAAGCTGCTTTAGATTTACATGAAAATGATACCAGAAGCTCTTGATTGTTTCCACGAGGCCTGTGATACATAACAGAGGGATTTGATGAATTTGTGTTTAGTGGTGCATGTCTATCTTCTCCGAGCAGCTCTGAAACCAAGCTCGGGGTGAGTGATATAGAGAGTTAGTAACCCTATTTTCCATCCTGACTTCATGTGGTGGAAATACATTTGCGCATGTGGGCACCAGTGGCTTGTTTTATCTACTTATGCAGGCTGGATTATTTAGAAATGGTCATCTTTAAATGCAATTTTTTGGTAAAATTGACAACAGATTTAGTGGGTGTGCACATCTTCCAGAGTTTATAGAATTATGTTACATTAAAGCATGTCAACATATTCTGTTACACCAAATACACAAAATAATGATCTTTAAAAAAGCATCATATGACCCCTTTAATGTATAACAGATGGGCGCATAGATTCACATCAATACCAAAAATAAAAAATGATAAAATTACTGTCACCTTAGTATTGTACATCCATTGCATTATACTGGGACGTGATTTAAAGCTAAGGGTTCAAGAGTTTGAATGTGTGTTTTAGTATGTGCATGTGACTATGGTATTGCTCCAGGTTTTCACGTGCGTGGACACGACTGCTGCAGTTTATTGATGCACGCAGGCCGATACCAAACCCCCATCAGGTTTTCATCTGACAGCTCTCTGTGTATTGATCCTATTCCCTTTTAAATGCCTCTGGGCTGTGTAATTAGCCCCATGTGAGGAAACAGCATGGTAACCAGAGCTCGACGTTCTACCAGCGCTCTCATGCACTAGACTTTAGTTCTCCCTAAGAACACACATACAGACGCTCCCATTACGTCAGAGAGCACACTCTTGCTTTCTCTGATTATGTGACGTGTTTTCAGGTGAAACAGAAGATTTAGGTGGAAATAATGTAGGGTGGAGCTTGATTCTATCTAAAGACATTTGATTGGATAGTGAAAAGTTATGCTGTTGTGTTGCTGGTTAATACTGATTTTCCCCAGCCACTGAAAATGTAAACATTTGTTTGTTTGTTTTTTCTCTGTGTTCTACATGTTTACTGCACATAATATATTATGCTATCTAGTTGTCTAACACAGCAACAATGAATTGAAAGTATTAATTTATTATCATTAAAGTACTATAGAAAAGCAAATGCATATCATATGATAACCATCAAATTTCACACTATGGTTTACTGTGACTAGGTCATTGTTTTACATCTGTTAAGATATTTGGTAACACTTTATTTTGATGGTCCCTTTAGAACATTTTGTTGACAATAAGTAACCTTGCACTTACATGTCAACTAACTCTCATTAGAGTATTAGTAGACTATCAGATTAATATCTGCTGAGTCTTTATAGTGATGGTCTCCCAACAGACATCCTACTGACTATAAGTAACTTTGCAAGTACATGTCTACTTAATCTAACCCTAACCCTACCACTCTACTAATACTCTACTAATATTATTGTAAGAGTTAAAAGATATGTAGGTGCAACATTACTTATAGTCAAAAGAATGTGTTAAATGGACCATCAAAATAAAGTGAAACCAGATATTTTATGTCAGAGCTGCATGTAAGCAATCTAGCATTGTTTACAGTGCATTTTCACACGTTGTAGTTTCAGCTGTTAAATCACACTGGAACATTTATTTAATTGTCTGAACTCTATCCATAATTCTTCCTCTTGGCTTAAGATGCTTTTCCGTTCTTATTCACGCACATGTTCCAGAGCTGTGTGTCTGTGGTCAGACGAGAGCTACTCCTCCCTGCAGGAGCAGCTACGAGTGAACTGCTGTTTATACGGTTTCTGAGAATATCTGTCATATCCCCTCATCATTTCTATTTTAATCAATAATATTAAAAGCAAAAAAAAGTACATTTTGTGTTTGAAGCAACTTCTTTTTTTCCAATTCAGCCCTCAAATCAAAGACAAGAATCATTATGTTTTGATTTGTTTTAGCTGTGCCACTACCATATTCCCCTTGTTCAGTATAAATGTGTCATCATAACAAAAACTAATTCAGGAAGTGATACAGTGTATATAGCACTCAGTGTTTTTGTGGTCTCTTGCAGAATGTGTATGTGAACATCAGTCGGATCATGTCCGTGGGGAACAGGCTGCTGGAGTCGGGTCACTATGCAACCCAGCAGATTCAGCAGATCTCAGGTCAGCTGGAACAGGAGTGGAAAGCGTTTGCCGCTGCACTGGATGAGAGGAGCACGCTGCTGGAGATGTCTGCTAACTTCCACCAGAAAACCGACCAGGTGAGGCCTAAATGTGCAGACGCATACCTACAGATACATTGAGTGGCCAAACAAGCTGATGCATTGATGATGATGCAATGTGTGTGTTAATTACAAAGAGCTAATTACAAACAAAATTCTAAGCAACATATCATTTAGATGCTGATAAATTTAGCCAAATCGAGTTGCCGAGTAAGTATGTACTGTATGCTAGAGGGGCTTTCAGATTTTAGAGAATGATGTGTTATTCACAAAAACTCATACCCACTTTTGTATCCCTTTTCTGTTATTCAGAACAACAAGTCATCAAGTTGCCTCAAGCTCACATCACTGGCTAAGGTTAGGTTTAGGATCCACGTGTTGACATTTTTGACCACTCACAAATGTTTTAAAAGCACCGCAAGCCACGCTTATTTCATTTCTCAGGCAGTCTGCCTATATACACAGGCAGACTAAACTATGTGTGTGTGTGTGTGTGTGTGTGCGCGTGTTTTTGTGACAAATGAGGACATACATTTGTATAATGACAAGAGTATGACATAGGTATTACAAGGAGAAGGTGACTTTTCAGGACATTACCCCATGTCCCCACTTTTCAAAACGCTTATAAATCACACAGAATTGAGTGTATTGAAAATCTGAAATAGCACAAAGTTTCCTGTAAGGGGTAGGTTTAGGGGTAGGGTTGGTGTAGGGCAACAGAATATACGGTTTGTACAGTATAAAAACCATTACGCCTATGGGATGTCCCCACTTTTCACAAAAACAAACCTGTGAGTGTGTGTGTCTTGGATTTTTATCTCTTGTTTTATAAGTGAATCATCAATGATTGTTCAGAGACTCTTTAGTTGAATACTTCATGTACAAACCCAATTCCAAAAAAGTTGGGACACTGTACAAATTGTGAGTAAAAAAGGAATGGAATAATTTACAAATCTCATAAACTTATATTTTATTCACAATAGAATATAGATAACATATCAAATGGTGAAAGTGAGACATTTTGAAATGTCATGCCAAATATTGGCTCATTTTGGATTTCATGAGAGCTACACATTCCAAAAAAGGTGGGACAG